GCAACTACAGCTGGCTAAGAAAGAGAGTAAGTTTGGAATTCTTGATTTGGGGGCTTGAGTAATTGGGAGAAGGTTGGTGCCAATTATCCACTCACTTCAGTTCAAAATAATGAAAACAGAGGCTGGAGAGAAGACTCAGTGGTTAAGAGCACTGGCTGTTCATGCAGAGGACTCGGGATTGGTTCCCAGCACTCACATGGTAGCTAACAATCATCTGTAACTCCAGTTTCATGGGATCCAATGGCCTCTTCTGGCCTCCAAAGGCATTTCAAGTATGGATGCACTTACGTACGTACATTACAGGCAAAACACACACGTAAAATAAATAATTAAAAAACAATGAAAATGTTAATTCCGATCTGTTTTTGTCTGTGCCTCTTCTTTTTTGTTGTTCTTGTTTTATGAGACAGGGTCTCCCTGTAGCCCCAGCTGGCCTGGAATTTGCTATGGAGATAAAGCTGGCCTTGGTTTTATACTTTTCTCTCTCTTTTCCACTGCCCCCCCGTCTCTCTCTCTCTGATAGTCTTACTCTATAGTCCAGGCTGCCCTAAAACTCACTATGTACTCCAAGATGATCTCCAATTTGCAATCCTCCTGTCTCAGCCTCCTGAGTACTGAGATGACAGGCGTGCAATACCGCACCCACCTTAGAAATTTAAAAAATAAAAACGAGGGCCAATGAGGTGGCTCAGTGGGGAGAGGTATCTGTTGCCAAGCCTGATAACTTGAGCTCAAGCTCCAAGATCGACATGGTGGAAGGAGAGAACTGACTCTAGCAAGTTGTCCTCTGACCTCCACACGAGCGTGGTGACATGTATGCACGTGAGCATGTGCACACACAAAACAAATAAAAATGTAAAATCTGTATTATCTATCTATCATCTAATTGTCTGATACATCTGAAAATGGAGAAAACAATTCACAATTAAACTTGTGTTCTTTTTTAAAAAAAATGTTTTATTTTTAATTATATGTGTGTGCCTGTAAGTCTGCACATGCACATGGGTGCAGGTGACAGGCCAGAGGCTTTGGATCCCCAGGGCTGGAGTTACTAGAGATTGTGAGCTGCCTGATGTGAGTGCTGGAAACTGAACTTGGGTCCTCTACAACAGCGGTACATGCTTTTAACCTCTGAGCCATCTCTCCAGCCCCCAAACTTGTCCTTTTTTAGTTCCTTAATTTCTATTACACTTGAAATGTAAGCTCTAAGATCAAGGTATGTGATCATAGTGAAACTCTCTAAATAATGAGTGCAAACTTCTTTTCTCATTACTGAGTTTACAGAGAATATCAGATATGCAGTTAACCAGTACTACAGGGGGACAAAGAAGAATTTGTAGCATATTATGCAGACAGTTTTATAAGATCATATGTGATCTGTACACGAGTTCAAAGGAAATATCTGAAAACCTATGTACATAAAGAAGGCCAAAAATCAAGACTCACAGAACTAATATTTCTTTTTTGTACAGTTGAGAAGTGGGGTGGAGCAATAGGTAAAGAGGAGGAGATGACAGTTAAGAGTATTTCCTTTCTGGGGCTGGAGAGATGGCTCAGTGGTTAAGAACACTGGTTGTTCTTGCAGAAGACCCAGGTTCGAATCCCAGCACCCACATGGCAGCTAACAACTGTCCGTAACTCCAGTTCCAGGGGATTCGACAGTTTTTTCTGTTCTCCTCGGGCATTGCACAGCATCCAGGGAATACACACACACATAAAATTTAAAAAAAATAATAAAATATTTTTTAAAAAAGAGTATTTCCTTTCTGGAAACAATTCATTAAACTTCGTTTCCAGATTTGAAAAAATCTGTTTCAGGGCTGGAGATACAGTTCAACAGTAGGGTGCTAATCTCACATGAACAAGGCCCTGGGTTTGGGCCCCAGCACTGGAAAAAAATTGCTTGACTTAAAAACTGGAGGGAAAATGCCCAGTTTCTTTTCACTTAGGAGATGCTGGGCACAGATTTAAGTAGCTGAAACAATCATGTAATAAGCAACAGTGAACAAATGTGTTATATTTGCACACTGTTACAATACTGTTGGTGGCAATAAATTGCTACAATCAACTCTGAAGGCAATTTGGCAATTTGGAGTGAGGCCTTTGAAACTCTTTATACTTTCTGAGTCAAGAGTTCTATTTCTGGTAATCTGTTTCAAAGAAATTCCTTGAATCCTCCACAGAACTTTCTTCTAAGCATTACTTATCATAGTGAAAAATGAAGTGTGGCCTCCTGGCTCATGCCTATAATTACCTACAATTTCAGCACTTAGGAGGTGGAGGCAGGAGGATTAGAAGTGCGAAGTCATTCTCAGGTACAAAATAAATTCAAGGCCAGCTTGGACTACCTGAACCTCCTGTCCATAAAAGACAAAACAAAAAACAGTAAGAAAATAGAACATTACCAATATGCCTGACAACAGAGTATGTCGTTCAGTAGCTCAGGACGGCTTGTAACTCACTGTGTAGCCTCCAACTTGAGATCCTCTGGCCTCTGCCTCCAGACGGCTGGGATTACAAGTGTGAACCATCATATCAGTTTAAAAGTTACTTCTACTTCTTTGTTTCTTTTGTGGTGCTGGGATAGAAATCAGGGCCTCATGCATGCTAGACAAGTTCTCTACCACTGAGCTATAGCCCCAATCCCTGAAATATAACAGTACTATTATGTTTTGTCTTATGCTTTTTATAGTACTGACTTTAATTCACAATTAATTATTACTTGAATATCTGGCTTAGACCAAGTCTAATGTTAAGGCAGAACTTAGTACTTTTCATTGTCGTCAATGATAGAAAAAAAATTAAACTATCAGATGAGGGCTTACTGAAAGCAAGAATTATTGTTCCATTTGGGAGTTTGCTTGAGTAGTAATTATAATCATAACTACACTTGTACGGTACTGTGTGTAAAGTGCTTGCATTATCTTGACTCATTACATGTTCACAAATTTAGTAGATAGGGAATATTCTATCCTCTTCCTATAAATTGGAAAACTGAGCCTAGGGTATCCTTGAACTTGCTGTGTAGCCAAGTATCACACTGCACTTTAGTTCCTCCTGACTCCACTTCTTGAGAGCTGGGATTACTGGTGTGTTCTACCGTGCCGGGTGCATGGACTGCTGGGAATGGAATCCAGGGTTTCATGTATGCTACATGTCCAGCCCAGACAATCTATTCTTTTCGAAATTAAAATACTCTCTAAAAGATGATTAGAAAAACTGGGAAACCACTCTTGACAGGTGAGAAGGCACTAGTTAGAATAAGACTAAAGTTGGGTGTGGTGGCACATACCTTTGATCCCAACACTCAGGAGGCACAGGCAGGTGGCACTCTGAGACTGAGGCCAGCCTAGTCTGCATAGAGAGTTCTAAGCCAGCTGAGGATACAGGAAAGTCCCGTCTCAAAACAAAACAAAATAAAACATAACAAAAGAAGAGTAAGTCACAAAAGGACTCACAAATGCATTATGCTGGTTGGTCTTTTGTTCTTTGCCCCTCTATTTACCAAATTTGCCAGAATCTTTCATACATGAACTTCTGTCCCACAAGGCTGAGGAATAATGTCCATCACCTATCTTTGACATTAGTCCAATTTAGGCCATATTTGATAAGCTAATTTTCAGTGCTTTGTAGAAAAGTGAAAGTCAAATGAAAGGTAGTCAAGGCCAGTCTCATCTACATCATGCCCTGTCTCAAACCAAAACAGACAACCACGACAAAACACAAATTCCTTGTGTGACTTTTGCAAATAAAGGTTTTTTTTTTTTTTTTTTTTTTGGTCCTTTTGAGACAGCGTCTCCCTGTAGACCAAACTGCCCTGGAACTCACTATGTAGACCAGGCTGGCCTTGAACTCACAGAGATCCGCCTGCCTCTGCCTCCCGAGTTCTGGGATTAAAGGCATGCGCCACCATACCTGGCTTGCAAATAAAGGTTTTAAACACACACAATTCATCATAAGAATGAAGATTCAAATATAAATGAAAGGCATTTAAAGAAATGCCTGTAAATCAAACTTGCCCTTTGCTTGTACATGTGAACTTTTCTGAGAATAAATGGCTAAACTAGACCAGCAGAATCTCTGAGTAAAAAGCCTTTATTATGCTGGGGGCAATTTTTAAGAAATAACACCTTTCAACTATACATGAATGGCACATTTAGCAATGATAGAGCCACAAGCCTGGAATCCAGGAGCTATCTACAGTCTAATTTTGATGCCCTGGTTGTTTTTTAAGGACCTATTGTACAAAATTAACCTTAATTTTCTACTCTGTAAGATGGGAAGCAACGTGACTGCTTGTTGCTGCGGTGAGAAACCATGGTATTCTTACGAGAAACTGCTAGCACATTTACACATTGATAAAACAAATGATTACACGCTGAAAAAAACAATGGCGGGGGATACTTTACAAACATCCAATGTGCGGAACAAAACTTAGGTAACAAGGGACTAGTAGTGTATCTTGACCCATTGTTAATTCTCAAATAGAGTGAGCCATAGGAAAATGACTGAGTAACATGGAGGAGAATGTAGAAGCCAGGGAGAAAGTGAGCTGAAGGCCATACAAAGAGCCCGCCTGGCCTTTAGTTATACCATCTCTCTTTTAATCCTCACTTCTAATTTCTTACTCCATTTATTTATTTATTTATTTATTTATTATTTATTTATTTATTTATTTATTATTTCTTTGGTCTTTTTGAGACAGGGTCTCCCTGTAGCCCCAGCTGGCCTGGAACGTAGTATGTAGACTAAGCTGGCCTTGAACTCACAGAGATTCATCTGCCTCCGCCTCCAGAGTGCTGCGATTGAAGGCGTGCGCCACCACGTCCAGCTTATTCTAGACCTTTATAAGCCACACACTTGTCGGAGATGAAAACTGATCTTAGATGAGGGTGCTTAGTTTTAATTGAACTGCCTTGAGCTAAGAGTCTCAAGTAAGATCACAATGGTTAGAAGAAATAGTTTGACAGGTAGAGAATAAGAATAAAGCTTATACTTACAATTTGAGATTCTCGACCTTTTCTAAACATTTTTGCAACATTGAGTCCATCAATAACAATATCAAAAGGGGGACAGGAGTCTACAAAGTTCTTAAATTTCTTCAGTTCCTGGAAAAGAAAAACGTCAGAGAAAACATTAACAAGAACTTGGGCTGGGGTTGTAGCTCAGTCAGTAGAGTGCTTGCCTATCAAGCATGAAGCCCTGGCCTTGATCCCCTGTTCTATATAAACCTGGGTATGTAATCTCACATTTGGGAGGTGGAGACAGGAGGATCAGAAGTCCAGGATCAACCTCAGTTATACAGTAAATTTAGGCCAGCCTGGGACGCAGGAGACCGTGTCTAAAGATGCATCAAACAAACCTAACAAGAATTTAGCAAGGACCTCACTGTAAACACATTAAGGTGATTATCATCATTTTTATAATTCAAGACATTCCTCATAAAAACTTACACATACTAACAAGCAAACAAAAGATCCTTCCAAACTAAAATCTAAAAAGGGCAGCCTTTGGATGCAAACCGCACATACTGATCCAACATTCCAGAATCTCTTTGCCCTTCACATGCAGTTTCCTTTGCTCTGCAGTCAGACTATCTTGATTGCTAAACTGACACACACGGTAGTCATGAAGATCATGAAATGTGACAAATTTGAAGTCCTGTGAAGAGCAGTGAGCAGGCACAGATGTCAGCAGCTGTGGGACAGCAAGGCTCTGAGCTTCTCGCCGTCTCGTGTGCCATCTATAGGCTTTGTTTACTTACAGAAACTTTTAAATTTAATTTGATTTAATTTAATTTTTTGGGTCTGGGTCCTGGGACTCATTATGTACACGAGGCTGGCCTCAATCTCACAGAGATCAGCCTGCCTCTGCCACCTAAGTGCTGGGATTAAAGATGTGTGTTACCAAGCTCGGCTTACTTATAGATATTTTTAAATTTTTTATTGACTATTTTATGTGTATGAGTGTATTGCCTGCATATAATGTAAGCGAATCTGTGTTGTGCAATGCCTGCAGAGGTCAAAAGAGGGTATCGGATCCCCTGGAACTAGAGTTACTGACAGTTGTTAGCTGCCATGTTGGTGCTGAGAATCAAACTCAGGTCCTCAGCCAGTGCTCTTTACTGCTGAGTTATCTCTCCAGTCCCAAATTATTTTATTTTTTAAAAAATTATTGCTGGGCGTGGTGGCGCACACCTTTAATCCTAGCACTCAGGAGGCAGAGGCAGGCAGATCTCTGTGAGTTCAAGGCCAGCCTGGTCTACATAGTGAGTTCCAGGACAGCTGGGGCTACAGGGGAGACCCTGCCTGAAAAAAAAAAAAAACAAAAACAAAAAACTACTTATGGGGCTGGAGAGATGGCTCAGTGGTTAACAGCACTGACTGTTCTTGCAGAGGACCCGGGTTCAATTCCCAGCACCCACATGGCAGCTACAAACCGTCCTTAACTCCAGTTCCAGGGTAATCTGAAGCCCTCTTCTGATTGCACAACATGGGTGCACTCACTTACATGCAGGCAGTACACTCATACACATAAAATAAAAATAATAAATAAGGGGCTGGAGAGATGGCTCAACGGTTAAGAACATTGACTGCTCTTGCAGAGGACCCAGGTTTGATTCCCAGCACCCACATGGTGGCTGTGAACCGTCCTTAACTCCAGTTCCAGGGGAATTCGAAGGCCTCTTCTGAACTCCACGGCATCTCACGACACAGGTGCATTCACATACATGCATGCAATACACTCATACACAGAAAATAAATAAATAAAATATTTTAAAAATTCTTTATTTTTATCTTATGTATATGAGTGTTTTGCCTGCATTTAAGTAAGTGTACCTATGTTGTGCAAAACTTGCAGAGGCCAGAAGAGGGTGTCAGATCCCCTGAAACTGGAGTTATGGAAGGTTGTTAGCTGCTATGTGGGTGATAGGAATCAAACTTGGGTCCTGTGGAAGAGCAGCAGGTGCTTTTAACTGCTGAGCCACCTCTTTAGCCCCTTATAGATACTTTTAATGATTTTTTTCTTGGTCAGGCTTGGTGGCACATGTCTTTAATTCCAGCACTAGGGAGGCAGAGGGAGGGGGATCTCTGTGAATTGTAACCAACCTGGTCTACATGGTGAGTTTCAGGCTAGCCAGGACTATACAGAGAGACCCTGTCTCAAAAAAAAAAAAAAAAAGAAAATTATTTTCATGGTTTCAAACTCACTATGTAGTCCAGACTGGCTTTGAACTCTGGACCTCCTGCCTCTGCCTCCTGAGTGCTGAAATTGCAAGCATGTACCACTGCTATTGGCTTTTCTGAAGAACTGAAAATCCATCTAACCACTCAACATTTATTGAACACTTACTATACTACATGACCAAAAAGACAAACCCCACTAGCTTAATGGAGCTTAATGTAAGGATAAACTAAATAAACCATGTTAAAAGTCAAATGAGATGAGTGCTATGGAGAAAAAAAGGAAGAGGGAACCCCAATTCTGGTAAAGATAGGATAGCTTATACTGGAATACCAAATATTAATGGGGACTCTAGATAAAAAATCAACCATGTGGGCTGGAGAGATAGCTCAGTAGTTAAGAGCACTGGCTGTTCTTACAGAAGACTTGGTCTGGAATCCTAGCACTCACATGGTGGATAGCAACTGTCCATAACTCCAGTTCCAGGGGATTGGCCTCCCTCTTCTGTCCTCCATGGGCACTGCAGTTACATACATGCGGGCATAACACCCATACACACACACACACACACACACACACACACACACACACACACACGTGTGCACAAAATCAACCATGTATCTATCTGAAGGCACCAAAGAAAGTGGCATGGTACACGACACTGAAAAGATTAGTTTTAAAAAACATGGCTGAAAATTCTTTGACACGACTCCCATCCCCAAGAGGACAGGTGACCCACCACAATTGGGCTGGAGGGATAGCTTGGCCGTTAAAGGCTCAGGCTAACACCCAAAAAACAAAAAAAAAATTTTTTTTTAGAAGCATGACATTACAGCTTTAACATACTCAATAATAATTTCCAAATTTTCAAAAGTGGCTGTAAAATTTTTAGATTCACAGTTGAATTAATACAGTTATTTATTTTATTTTATTTTATTTTATTTTTTTGGTCTTTTTGAGACAGGGTCTCCCTGTAGCCCCAGCTGTCCTTGAACTCACAGAGATCCGCCTGCCTCTGCCTCCCAAGTGCTGGGATTAAAGGCGTGCGCCACCACGCCTGGCAATACAGTTATTTTAAAAGAAGTCAGAGAACCAGCTGTGCATGGTGGTGATATCTGCTACCTGTAACCCCAGCACTGGGGAAATTTAAGGCCAGCTTGGGTTACAGAATACATGAAAGCAGAAAGGGGACTACAAGAAGTGGGGGAGGAGTCTAAAGGGAGGAGGCAGGGGAAAGGGCAGGAAGGGGAAGGGCAGGGGAAGGGCAGGAAGAGGGATCAATAAGAATAAATATAATTATATATACACATATATGTCAAGCCCATTTCTTGGCATGTTAATCAAAAATTAACTTACAAAGAAATATTAAAAAATTAAAAAAGAGCCAATTTATATTTGGCATCAAAGGCCAAAGATGATAGAAGCACAAATTTAATATAGAAGAAAGTAAAATAATAAAATGAAATAGAAGTCAAAATAATTTAAAATTATTATCCCCTTTCCACCTAAAAATAAATTTAGTAAGGCAAATATTGAAAAGTTGTTCCCAATCTCTATTTCATATCACATACAAAATTATTTTAAAATTATTTTCATATCACATACAAAATTATTTTAAAATGGATCATAAACCTAAAAGCTCAAACTATGAAGATTCTGAGAGGAAACAGAATTCTCTGCAATATCATAACAAGCGAAGACTTCTTGTGGAGAATTGGGGTGTAACCAGAGGAAGTGGGCTTGCTTCCCATGATGCGCTGGGCATTGCAGCCCTCACTGGTATTTGGCAGCTTCTTGACATGAAGCCTTTGAGAAGGGTACAGTATAACTTTGTGGCATTTTAGCCAAAAATACATTCAGGAAATTTAACCTAAGGACACAACAGATAAATCTAAATTCAGAGACATTCAACAAAATAAGAGGCACATACTTTTCTGGAAAGTTGAAGTCTAAAGATAAGACAAAGAAAACTGAGACATTTCGTTTTTTGTTTTTGTTTTCAGACAGGTTCTCACTATATAGTCCAAGCTGGTCTCATACCTGTGATCCTCCTGCCTCAGGCTCCCTAGAATCACAGGCATATGCCACCATACCTGGCAAAAATGAGCTTTTTAAAAACGGAGACTAAGCTCTGCTTGCCTGGGCCTGCACGACCCGCAGGCCTCTCTCAGACCCCCAGGCCTCTCTCCAGGGTAAGTCAAACTCACCCTCCATGCCTTGACTCCCCCAGCCTCACTCACCCTCCCATCTCTCCTGCTGGTCTCTCCTCCTAGCCTGGGTCCTGTCCCATTCCTTCTCTTGGTGCCCCAGACACCTGGGGAACCACCACTGCTTCCTGATCCTGGTATCCAGAGCAACTCAGTGCCTTCTCCCTTCTCAGATACCCAGGAACCCTCTGGTCCTGGCCCCGCCCTCACCTCCCTCTGCTTACCTGGGCCTGCACCACCCACCAGTCACTTCCTGGAGCTGGGGCTGACCTTTCCTCTTCCTGATCCTTTGCATCCAGGCCAACCCAGCTCCTCAGTGCAGTAACCAGGAGCCCTTGGGACCACATCCCGCTCTCATCTTCCTTTGCATCTCTGGGTGGCACTGCCACCAGCCGCCCTAGACCAGCATCTTTCCTGGGCCAAGCTCCCAGGCCAGTCCAACCCTCAAAATCCTGAGGCCAAAATCTTTCCTGGAGGGATCCAGACCTTAGGAGAAAGCCTGAGAGTGTGTGACCGTCATCTGACTTGGGCCTCTGTGGGAACTCCTGAAGACAAAAGCAATCTGGCCACTCCAATATAAACTCAAAGGAGAGAACCAGAAGCTTAGAGGAACCAGCCTTTCATGCCCCAAAAGTCAAACACAAAGACACATAAAGTTCAGAAAAAGAAGCAGACCTAAACTTGAAGGCTTGAGTCTCACACAACAATCAGAAACC